AGTCGGACGCTTAACCGACTGCGCCACCCAGGCGCCCCTGCGTGTTTGTTTTATTGCGTGTGCGTGTTCTAGACAGCTCTGTGCTCCCACAGCAGCTCATAAGCAGGTAAATTTACAGGACTTTTGGACCAAGGAGTTAAGTGCGCAGTGTGTGTGTGTGTGTGTGTGTGTGCATCAGAGAGAGAAAGAGAGAGAGAGAGAGAGAGAGAGATTTAATATATGAAACATATGGCTGATATATAATTATATGTGATACATAATATTAAGAATCTTACCGTTTTTCTAAATCCAGTCCAGGAGATGGTCTTTGTTTAATGTCTCCTATAATCCATTCATTTTTTTTTTTTTCACAGGCAGCTTTGTTCAGTCTTTAGGCTGTGCTCCCGATTAAATTCAGCAGGGTTAGCTGTTGAACAGCCTATCTAAAAAGGTTTGCTGACCTGGGACCCACAGACCCCAGGGAGCCCACACGGAGGCTCTGGGACCCTGCGAGTCCTGGAGCTGTGTGTATGCACATGCCTGCATCTCTGAGGAGAGGTCACAGGTGCCGGTGTCCCCACCCACCCCCATCCCCAGGCTAACCAGACTGTCTGCCCCCCGCCTGTGCGAAGCGCTCCTCAGGGGCACTTACACGGTCCTTGAGAGTCAGACTCTGGACACAAAGGTTGTCTTCATTGCACGGAGACGGAGGGGAGGGTCCCCCTTTGTTAAAAACCTGCCCAGTGATTAGGAGCAGCGGACTTAAGGCCAGAAAGGGGCACTGTGGCTTTTAAGAGGGGCTTGGCCTAAACTCAAGAGCGTGGTTGACGTTCCAGCAGAATCTGGCTCAGAAACCTTACCTGGTGGTTTGAATCAACTGCTTCAAATCACATCTCCATGAGACGGTGTGAGTGTCACTGCACCGTTGGGTTGTGAGTGGTTTTTCGGCTGTGACTTTTCCTTAGAGCTGAGAGAAAGTAGTGTCTTTGTGATGGCTCATCAGTGTGTGGGCTTCAAAGTCCCCCAAATTAAATATATGTGCGTATATAGCTTTTTTTTTCCAGTTTTTTGAAATACGAGTTTGTCCAAGCAGATGTTTGACTATTCCTCCCATGGTGGGATGTGTTAGAGGTGAGTTTAATTTTAGTGCTAGCGACAGTGGCATTTTCATTTGCATGTGTTAAAGGAACAGCTGGGATGCCTTCCGTGTTGGTTTGACTTTGGCTAAATTAATGTCTCCCCAAGTCAGTCAGATGCCTGAAACTGAGCCAATGTGCTGTCCTCGGAGCGTAAGCTCATACTGAATGTCAGGTTAAGGAGATCAAGCTGCCTCTGTGAATCTCCCCCGACCTCCACCATACCTCTCATTGAGAACTATTAAAGCGTTTGACCTTCTACATAAATGTTTTGTTTTGTTTTGTTGGTTTTTTTTTTTTTTTTTTTTTTTTTTTTTTTTTTTTTTCCGTCTCGCCGTCTCTCCCTTCGTCTAGGATTATGGACACGTTTGAATTCAGCCTTCATGTGTGATGAATCTGAAAGCCATGCACGTGGTTCATTAAGAACAAGGTTTTTGGAGTCACGTAGATCTTGGTCACGATCCCAGACCCTCCAGTCCTTAATCCTGTGGCCGGTAGCATTTGTACGATGATGGCGCACGATCACCTCTGGTTACCATGAGGAGAAACACGATGTCTACAAGGTGCTGGTTTCTCCTCCCTTGAGATTTTGTTCAGAGGCACCCTCAGCGAGGCGGCCCTTGACCTCGACCACCTCCCCGAGGAGTGCAGCCGCCTGGCCCCCACCCTTGATTTTCTCCATAATTCTTATCACCACCCACACACCATATGTCTTACTTATTTACATGTTCATCTGTCTTTACCCATTAGAATAGTGAGATACTGCTGCCAGGATCGTTATTGGATGACTGGACGGCATTCAGGAAATTCAGTAAATATTTGTTGAGTGAATGTATTGCTCAGCACATATGGTGAGCGCCTACTAAGTCATCAGTGATACTAAGAGTCATGAAAGAATAAGGGAGATTTTTAGCAGTAGAGATCATATGAACCCCATGACGAACCCCACATAAACATAACGTGTTTACATTCTTCCAGGACTGAAAAGCAATGCCATTACGTCCCACCCTTTATTTCCTGTCCTTCGGGATAGATACAAGGCATCAGGTGTTCAGAGCCTTGCAAAAACAAAAACAAAACAAAACAAAACTTCACATATTTGGGCAATGTTTTATTTACCTTTTTTAAGTATATAAAATGTACTGGGCACCCCCCCCCGC